GGATCAGCTTCTGTTGGTGCAGACCTTACTGAAGACTTCGGTGGAAGAGTGTGCACCAGGGGACAGCTCTCATGCTAGGCACCTATAACCTTTCCTCTAACAAAAGTTGCCAAGTAGCAGGGATACATTTGTTCAGCCCTTCTTCCCTTCAGTCTCTATCAACAGGGTTCCTATGGATCCCCCAGTGGAGCCTGGGCTGAAATTTTCAGATATCTAGATGATTTAGATGGGTTGGATCACAGAAACCCCCTTTGGAGCTGCCACCCGATGTGCCAAGACCACCCCTGCTTCTGTTTTCCCTGCCAGCTCAGGACTCCAGCACCCCGTCTTGCTGAATTAGACACTCCAGTCCACTTCAACACAGACCCAGGGTCTGAATCACTTGTCCCAAAACTGCAAGTTTACCCAAAAACAGCTCACAGGAGTGTGCTTGTCTTTAGCACTCAGATGCCCAACTCCCAATGGGGTCTAAACCCAAATAAATCCGTTTTACCCTGCATAAAGCTTATGCAGGGCAAACTCATAAATTGTTCGCCCTCTATAACACAGATAGAGAGATATGCACAGCTGTTTGCTCCCCCAGGTATTAATACATACTCTGAGTAAATTACTAAATAAAAAGTGATTTTATTAAATACAGACAGTAGGATTTAAGTGGTTCAAAGTAGTAACAGACAGATTTAGATATGCAATTCCCATTGCAATTAATGGGAATTGTGCATTTAAATCTCATAGGTGACTTTGAAAATCTCAGCTTAAAGTTGTTTGCAGACAAAAGATATCCCAAGGAAAGACTGGACGTGCTACTCCTCCTAGCTGCCCTCCCTCAAGTGAATGCCCTGGGACACAAGCATGCAAGGCTGGTGAGGGGAGGAATGTAGGAAGAGGCTACACCATCTTTTAGGCTTTGATGAATTACCTGAACAAAGCACAATAAATCGCATGGAATTATAAATCACAAATTAATTACGCTTGGTTAGGTCAATACTTTCAGAATGCATAAAAATGACTGAGGAGATTGTGAAATCACTTGACAGGGAGGTGCATATTCTTGACCCTGCCGTCACCACTCTCTCTTGAATCAAAAAACATCAAGGCCACCCAGCAGAATCCATAGGTTAGCTGCTCTTTTACATGTGTTCAGGGCCAATAAGGGAAGACCTTTGGAAGCGAAACTGCTGTAATTGCATTTCTAAATTCTAATTTAAACAATTTTCAAAATTCTGCTAAAGTGGATTATAAAAACACAAGAGAGAGAAGAAATAGAGTATGATCGGAAACAAATTGAGGAAAGGAAAGAAGACCCAGTGGACTGTTGTATTATTTGCTGCCTTACTTGTTAATGGTTTGTTTACAGGAATTTTTTGAGAGAAAGCATAATTTCAGCAAAAGTTAGTTTTACAATAAATTTTGCTAGTCAGTGAATATCTTCTGAAAACTAGAGTGGTTGCAAATATTATAGCAGGTATGCAGAACTGTGCTTCTTCTGATAACATTAAGCTGAATGCTAAACATTTTGAAAGAAGTACTGAGGACCATGAAGATCATGAAAATATGCCAGAAAATCAGTGCAATGAAGACAGCAGCACCTACCCAAAGAGGATACCAGAAACTTTTATTGAAAGCAAAATCCTGCCATCCCAGGGCAAGATATCATGTCAAGCTGGTTCAATGGGTGCCAATTACAGCTGTTGTCTTCATGATCAAAGTGTTTGATATCAAAGAAACTCTCTTGTAATATCATGGTTGCTACTAAAAGTGTTTGCCATATTTTGGAATATCAGAAGAATCTGCTTAGTTTTTTTCAATTTTGTATCAATATGTATTGTGACAATGTTTCTAAGCTCTCTTTACAAACTTTTTTTTTAAGCAACCGATGCTTCAGAAGATGATATTGTCAAATCACGTTTCTTCTCTTTTAGAATGATTCCTTTAGGTCTGGGTGCAGATCTGGTAGCTGAGCTTAGACTCCATAGAAAAGTTCTATACCGTAATTAAATTCTTCCATTTTCTCTGGAGGAAAATGCATCAATATGAATCTATACCAATACTCTCACCAGAAATCTATACCTCAATTTTCCTCCCTTCTATTCTCTTTTTTTCCATCTCTTCGTACATTCCTCCCTCTCTTCTTTCATCTTTCTATTCTCTTACCTAACTTTCAGGTAACTAAACTGCTGGTCTACAGTGCCTCTGAAAGTCAAGCAAAAGATGTCTCAAGTTGGCCCCCCAAAAATAGAGGAACCCAAAATTAGTGAATACATTAAAAATGTGTTCATCTGTAGCTTTTACAATTGCAAAAATAAAAATAATCTTCACAATCTGAACCAAATGAAAATGAATGCAGTGGTAACCTGCCAGAGTCTGCAGTGCAGTCATCATGAAGCAATAGCTATGAAAGGTGTGAACTGTTTCCGTTAATCTCTGAGTGGGGGGGTGATAGTTACTCTGCAGCCTAATGATAATGGTGTGAATGTCAAAGCTGATCAAAGCACATAAAGGAGGATGATCATACTATGAACACCTGCATGATCTATTTTGAATGACATTTCATATTAGCATCAAGAGTTGGTGGAACTTGAATTGTGGCTAGTTTGAAAAAGTCCTGTCCCTTCCCCCACCCTCAGATCTGACTTCTATTATTCTTAATATACAGCATTTTACAAAACACATATACTGATCCTGCACACGGAAATTTGCCTAACTTTAAAGACAATAGGATTTCTCTCAGTGTGTAAAGTTAAACACAAAGTTCTTTTGTAAGTTGTTGCAGCCTCAATAGAGAAAACCATGTACTTGCTTTTCTACAGAGAAAGCGTAACAAAAGACAGGGCAATTTGAATATCAGTTAAGTGCAATCAGATCTATTCCTTATAGTATTCCAATGGTTAATGGCAGTGCACCAAGGATAAGCATATAACTGGCAGATTTGGATGCCAACAGTTATAAATCTCCATTCATCTCTGTTTACTATCTACCCTGTATTCTTGTCTGCAGAGTGTAACTGTAATGCCAAAAGTTTTTGGTATTTTTAATAACAGTTTATTTAAAGAGAAATTGTGCGTGCAATTAATTTTTTGGTACAACAAAGAACCTAACCATGGTTTTGTTCTCTCTCTCTCTCTTTCTTTCTTGAAGTGTTGATTATAATGCAGTCAAGTACTTTACAGGTAAGAATATATTTGTGATTTTCTGTAATAAACTGATTTCTTATTGTTATTTTATGTTATATAATAGCTTGAAGATTAAATGAAAATAGTATAATGCATATTTACTTCAAATTTTTCTTGTTAGCTCTTTACTGTGTTTCCTTAGTTCGCAGCTGTACTTCAAGAAGTTGGATTCTAATCAATTGAGGATTTCCTGTAGAAAAAAAAGTTTCACTTTTGAAAATCATGCAACATAACCCATTCTTACACTTACACCAATGCTGACAATACCTTTCCATGTCAAAACAAAAGTAAAAGCCATCCACTACATGCAAAAAAAGAAATCCTGCAACATATAATAAATGTACATAAAGCTAATTATCCCAAGTTAAAGATTTTGTATATGTCTACAACTATATTAAGATACGGTAAAATGTTATGGTCAGCTAATTACTGTCATATGCAAATGCCAGGAAATCCATGGGCATTAGAAGAAGTGTATGGTTGCAGTGGGTAATGAATTCAGATTGTTCATGAATAAATATAAACATAAACACTTGTTTTTCTCATGCAAGAACAGACCAGCTGTTAACTGCTGAAATCTATGCAGGATGTCAATCAAGGATTTTCTTAGTGAACAAGACTGAAGTGTGGGCACTAATACACTCCTGTATTTGCATTATTTGTGTAGTAATAACAGAATCCACCTAGACAATCAAGATTGGTGTAAAAACCTTCCTATGTGTTACTCTCACAAGTAGTCTATTTTAAAAGTGATCAGGTAAGTAGAGCTAAATCTCTCTCCAGTGTAATTTATAAATGTCAGGCTGATTAACCTTTGTCTCATTTAAACTCTCAAATAAAATAAATATTAGGATTCAGTCCTAAAAAATTGATATCTAGTAGATAATAAAAGGATAAGGTCATTTCAATTAGGATTGAAAATGTACTTTTCCTCAGTATTCTCTTGATGTTCTTTTACATGCAACGACAGGTCTATTTAGAAAGATCCAGCAACATGTCTAGGCCCTGTAGATACCAGCTGCAAGTTATAGAAATCTTGCTTCCAAAGGAGAGGCAACTAGAGAAGGAAGGGAAAATGTGTGGTATTATTTTATATAGTGTTTAATTAAAGGGACTACTTCTTTGGCCACTAGAGGCTGAAATACCTATATTCCTACATAGTAACTCTATGATACTACCCTCTCACAGCCCTCCCCAAAAAGGATGTAGTGAGAGGCCATTCTTGGATGTTAAAACTGCCTCTTGGGATCCACAGGCAGCGGGGTGTGAACTTGAGTAGTCCTGAGGCTGCTCTAACTTACACCAGAAACCAGCCTGGTCCATTGCTGGTCCTAGGTGGAGGGGGCATAAGGTAGCTTAACGCCACCTTTATACCACTCTGCCTCTATTCTTGCATCAAGGGGGGGAACAGAGACAATTTCTTCTTCCCCTTGTTTATGTGACTACAGCATCCAGGGGTGGGCTGGCCCTGGGAAGGAGGGTCCTCAACACAGGGCGTGGGGGGCAACACTGCTATGCCTGCCTGCCACTGAATGGATGCTCCCCTCAAGTAGTAGGCGGGGCTGCTGGGGGTGGCGCTGAGGAGAAAGCGGGTCTCAGCCTTGGGCGGTGGGAGGTGGGGTGGGCCCGGAGTTGCTGTGCAGGGCCTGGCAGGGAGAAGAGGGAGACCCCTCAGCAGAACTTGACGTGCTCCGCAAGCGTCCGCCTCGTTGGGGCGTAGGCGCGGCAGGTGACTCTAAAACGGACTTTCCCGCCACCTAGCGGTGGGCGAACAGAAGCGCGCAGACGACGCATGCGTCAGGTCACAGATGCCCGGGAGCGGCCAGCGCAGGCGCTGCAGGGAGTGCGCTTGGCGGGGGAGTCTGTAAAGGAGCTCCGCCCCTTGAGGCCCGGCGGTAGCTCTGCTGGCTCCCTGTTGGCCTAGAAGGTTCTGACCCCCCCGAACCCCTCAACCCCGTCAGCCGGCGGGGGGCATCGCGGCCGCAGCGGTGAGTGCGAGGGGAGGAGGGGGGTTGCCGGCGCGCGCGCGCGCCTGAGGGAATTAGCTCCTGCGCAATACGGCCCTGAGAGTGGGCCGAGCGGCGGGGCTGAGGAGAAGGGGGCGGAGCAGCCCTGGGAACGGGGGATAGGCGCTGTCGCCGTGCTTCGGGCTAGAGCAGGGCGCTGCTTGGGGGCAGCGGACGGGGGGCGCACTGGGGAGAGGCGGGGCGGAGTTTGGGCCGAGGAGGAGGCGTGAATGTGAATGAGGGTAGGGCGGGGTTGGGAGTTAAGGGGGAGGGGCGGGGCTGAGAGTTAGGGGGCGGGGCTGAGGGGCTGAGAGTTGGGGGGCGGGGAGAGGGTGAGGCAGGCTGTGTACGGGCAAGGGGGGGCGGGGTGATAAAGCCCTAACCTGTACAGTCAGGAGCTGCCGCAGTAAATGGTCATTGGCCTCTGAGACCTTAATTCACTCTGAGCCCCAAAGCTGCTTCTGACGTCTGTCCTGGTGTGTGCCTGTCCGCGGTGGTTGTTTATAAACAGCGGCCCAGCTGCTGGGGTTATCGTAGTCTCCTCCCCCGTTCGGTCTTTGTGCCCTCCGAGTGAGAGGAGATCAAAATGAAATATTCCTGACCTCTCTAGGGCTATTAAGCAAAATCTTCCATCAGACACTAAACTCAGGGCAGGTCTTCACTACGGGGGGGGGGTGGTCGATTTAAGATACGCAAATTCGCGTAGCTGAATTTGACGTATCGCAGCCGACTTACCCCGCTGTAAGGACGGCGGCAAAATCGACCTCCACGGCTTCCCGTCGACGGCGCTTACTCCCACCTCCACTGGTGGAGTAAGAGCATCGATTTGGGGATCGATTGTCACGTCCCGACGAGACGCGATAATTCGATCCCCGAGAGGTCGATTTCTACCCGCCGATTCAGGCGGGTAGTGTAGACCTAGCCTTAGTATGTAATAGTTAAACATCTCTTCTCTGGTGAGAGACTTGGCAGATCTAATGGGCGAGAGGTAATATCGTCATTAACTGAAAGGAGCAAGTGTTTCAGAGATACTCTGCATCTGATGAAGTGGGTTTTAGCTCACAAAAGCTTATGCTCATATAAGTTTGTTAGTCTCTAAGGTGCAACAAGTACTCCTCATTGTTTTTGCTGATACAGACTAACACGGCTATCTCTCTGAAATCTGTTAGGCTTGGCTGGGTTGATGTCACCTTTCAGTTTGTAGGTGAAGCTAAACTGGGGGCTCACTCCGGAGACTTCTCATAGTTGTTGGTCTTTGCAAATTTAAAAATAAAAAAAGAGGAGAGTGTCAGGTTAAAAAGGTAGGATTTTCCTAATTTGGAGTGCACCAGACTACGTTTTAAAATTAGGGTGAAATGCTGCAGGAAACACTGTAGGGAGCATCTTGATTTCTATTATTCCATAAAGAGTAGGTAGAGTTGATAGGTAAAAATACTGTAGGGAGGCTTTTAACGTGTTTCATTGGAGCACTGAATAATTTATGTAATAAGGGGATTTTAAAAAAGCAGCTTTATAATAAAACTGAAAAAGGGGATTGCTTTTCAAACAGAAGTTTAACAGGATTTCTGAGTAACTGCAGTTTACTACTTGGAAAAACAAAAGATTAAAGTCATGGGTAAAAGTAGCCAACAAATTCTATAACTTATTTTTTTACGTTACTTGGGCTAACAAATTAGAACCTTTTTGAAAGTCTGGCACCCACCTTCATATTTAAAGTAACTGTGTTATCACACACATTCTGATCTCATACATACATTAAAGGAGGGAGGAATGATTGTTATTGTTATGAAGAGAGCTTATCTTTTTACATTCAAATAATATTCTGAAGCAAGTGTATTCCAGTTGTCAGTACTTGTAGGACAAAGTTGCACAAAATGAAACATCCGTCTCCTGACCAGGATGGTATTTATCTTACAAAAATGTCAAGCTGTGTCTTTCCTCTGAAATACCCATCTTAACTGGTAATTGAGTATAATCAGTCTCCTATTACTGACTTCACTCTCATTTCTTTAAGCTTTGACTTTCCCTTTATTTAGGACCTGATGCTGCTCTCAGTGAAGCCAATGGGAGCAGACACTAAGCCATTAAACTCCATTAAAAGCCTAGAGCAGGGGTTCGCACAACAACATTTTTGGTGACCTCAATGCAGACGCCAACTCTTGCTGGTGGCTGCTCTGACAAATTTTCCTAAAATACTTTAGGAAAAACAAATGAATATGCACATATGTTTCCAAATCATTGGAATTGATTTATGTAGGCTTTTGGTTTTTTGCAGACTCAATACCAAAATACAACTGTACATTATTTTTTGTTGCCTCTGACCTCTGCTGCCTCCACTTGCCACCCAACCCCCACCCCCCATTGTCTCTAGCTCTTGCTGCCTCCCTCAGCCCCCACGGATCCCCCAGGCCTCGTAGTCTCCCATTGGCTCCCCACCATCCCCCTGGGCTCCCCATGGCTCCCCCCCTCCCCCCCGGGCCCTGGTGTTCCCTCCCCCCAATGCTTCCACAGCCATGCACCCTATGCTTACCCTGCTCCTTGCATCTTGACCACAGTGCCTTGGAAGACCAGCCCTAGCGCCAGATCCAGAGCCCCATGGCTTGAACCGGGGTGGGAGCTAGGTGGGGCTGAAGCCCAGAGCCCCGCTACCCAGGAGGGGCTAAAGCCTGGAGCCCCGCAGGTGGGGGTGGGGGTGTGGCTGAACCATGGAGCCTGCTGCCAGAGCCCCAAGATGATGGGCGTTGGGGGGGAGTTAAGCCTGCCCCCTGCAGCTGAAGCCATCTCTGCTCAGGAGGGTGTCATGGCCACAGGAAAAACCCCTGGTGGCTGTATTTGATAAATGTTGGCCTAGAGTCTGTTCCCATTGGATTCAGTGTCTGGTGGCAAGAGCACAAGACAAAATAGTAGGAGACCTGTGTTTTGTTCGATGCTGACACAGACATTCTGTTACCTTGAACAAATCACTTAAGTACCTGTGCCTCAGTTTATACCTGGAAAAAAAAAATTATCTTTGCAAAGTGCTTTGAGAGCCGTATGTTGAAGGTGCTATGTTAAGTACAGAGTATCAAAATGACTTAAAATTATAGTTTTGTTTATAATAGTATTCAAAGCAAATACTGCTTTCTTTGGGATGTACGATCTTAGTTAAAGTGGATTCGGGGGGGCGTGAGGTATTTTTTCTTACAGGTAACATTTTAGGTTCCTGTAAATTAACACATTTTTAAAATTGAAGTTTCACCTATTATTCTGTCTTTGCATTCTTTCTGTGCTGATCAGACTTGTCACTCTTGCTTGTTTTAATGTCTAATGACTTCTCTCTGATTTTTGTTCACAAGCACAAAACCGCTCTGTTTGCATTGCACACACCACAGGGTAATGTATTAGTTTAAAAACAAACTTTCTATTGGAATCTTGAGCATGGGGATTGTGAGAGATTATAAAAACACACATTAAATAGATTTAATCAACGCTCTCTCCCAAGTTTCTCATAGTTCTCTAGACTCTAGCTAAAGTACAGATTGCTGAGTTATTTGAAATTTGTTTCTTTTGCTTTAAATTCTATTTTGCATAATAGGAATTATGGAAAACCAAATAAGAATGATTAGTTAGTATTTACAGTGTTTAAAAGAATGACACCAGCATACAATGTTAACAATATGGGATGTTAAAACTTGTCAGGAGATAAATATAATACATTAATTCAAGGTCTCTCACAGTCTTATGTAGGCAAACTTTCTTAATTCTTTATTGTTCTAGACAGGTGATTTTGGTACCAGCTATGCATTTGAACTATGCATTCTTAAATACAGAATTTTGTCAGTGTGTCAGTTAAATTATAGACTGCCTGTGGCAGTTCATCCAAATACTAACGTTAGAATTTTAAAAATTTAAACCAATTTAATTACTAAGAATGTCAACTCATTTACCTTGCCAATGTGATACTTGCAGCCAGGCTCTTCCAGTTTTTCTCACACATCACTCCAAAACCCAAATACAATATGCACATAATGATTTGAAAACTATTCTAATTTCTGTGGAATTTCACCACTACTATATATTCTAAATGTCACTTCAATCAAATGTTCAAATAAGGGAAAAAAATCTTTAACTTGCAAATCAGGTCAAAGCTTTTTCATCTTTCTCTGGAAAATTGTCAACTTCTTTTTATCACAAAACTCCTGATTTCTAGATTGATCTCTGAAACATTCAGGGCTTCTCTCAGTTATCTTTTAGTAGGGTTAAGTAGTATCTCATTACACTAACGTGGCCCAGCATTTTTAATTTTTTGCAGCTTCAAAACTCTAAATAGCTTATTAATCTTAGTTGTCTAGAAAACATGCTAAATCAAAGTTGTTGGTGAAACACAAGTGCTCATCATACATATTTAGTTATTTACAATTATTTTAACTTTCTAAGCAGCATTTAGCTTAATAGCCAAATTGTCAGTTGAGCAAAATACATGTTTTTTTGTCAGGGTGTTCTGTCTTGCTTTCAACTCCTATTTTGGTTGGATGTTTCAAATCTTTGTCACTTTTTGACCTACCCACATAACTTCACCAAGAAGAGGAACCAGCCCTCAACACCGATCAGAAACTGTATAAAACTAGCCTTGTTTTGTTCAGCAATTCTCTCCTTCAGAATAAAAAAATCCTGACAAAGAACATGAATTTTGCCCAAGTGACAACTTGCATTTTTGTTTCTCGACTTTTTACCATTCAGTCCTGGGATCAAGAACTGCAAGGAAAGTTTATGCATTTTTAGGTGCAGGTATCTTATGCCATCAAGTTTGTGTAAGACCTGTGAGACTTTACCAGATTTGCAAAACGTCTTGGGACATAATGGATTGCAAGAGACATTTTATCAAGGCAATCATTGAACATCTGCCCGTTATTTTAGTTCCAGTCAGCAACATACTTCCCCAGACCGCTTCCCTGAGGTCTCTCTTGTGGTGTATCCCTTGGCCAACCTTACATGGCTCTTTGTTCTTTCCCAATTTGTGGTTTCTGTCACCACTCCTAGATGCCTAAAGAAATGTCTGTTTTGAAGCTAGAGTATCTTTATGTAAAGTCTCTTCACATTCCTTGTTTTCTGTATTTGTTTAGTAGTTCATCATGCAGCAATATAAAGTTATTTGCTTGATCTAACACCAATAGGATGTAAGTTAAACAATAAGGCAAAACACCTGTCTATACTCCATACAAATACTTGGTTATTCCCTACAGTTTAGTGACAAGGTTGGTAGGATCACTTCTTATGTTAAGCTTTGTGTGCAGTTGCCAGTTATAGTCAGTCAGTCAGACCTTATGGTTATTTAGCTCTTAGAACATTTGGTTAAGTTTACCTTAAACTTTCACTTCACATTGGCTTCTCTGCATAAGTGGATTACCTTTTTAATAAGAAACAAACACCTTGTTATACCTTTAATTATTAGTCATATTTATTATCACATTTCTTTTTAAACTAGATGGCATTGTCTGCACTATGTGCAATACTTTTTATTGTTTTAGTTTTCCTTAAGGAAACTTCTTTAGACTGCAGGAGTCTGCTTCTTTTCTGAAAACCTTAGGTAACTTTAAATTTTCTGTCCGGCTTCTAAAACTTCAATCAATACTCTTTCTCATATACAAACATAAACCATTATTAGATTAAATGTAATTGCTTGATTTACTGTATAAATCTACATTGTGAATTTCTAATATTTCAATAAAAGGAAAAGCTAAGAGAAATCTACTTCATTATAACTTGCAGTTTGTGGTTAGTTTAAGTCTCTAACTGTTGCATAGTTACCCAATCTAATTCTCTGTGAAACCTAGAAGGGTCTGTTTGATTTACTGTATAAATCTATATTGGGAACCTCTATGCATATTCAGTAGAGGAAAAATAAGAGGAATTTATTTAACCATGAATTGTAAATTATGATGAGCTTAAATAACTAGCTGTTGTAGTTACCCCAACTTAAATCTTAATGAAACACAGAAGCTTCTCCTGCTTTTTGGCATGTTGTGATTCATAAGTGCGCTATTGGTCAAAGTTGTAATAAGCAAACCACCAAAGATGATATTGGAAAGCTTTCTTAATATGCAAAACTGAGTGGCATTTGAGATAATAAAGTAGAAGGTGACTGCAAATAGCATTCTTGCCTTAGACTATAGTTTCTCAAATTGAACAGTGATGGGAGGAATACCAAAATGCTGAAAATAGGACAGATGGGATGAGTGAGCCTTTTGTTAGTATTTTTCAGAAATACAAAAAAGTACTGAACTAGCATATTTATATCTACTCTATGCTCTCACAAAAATAATCTTACTGATCTGATTATAGGAAAGAGATTCTTAATGCTGTTTTAAAACAGATGAAATTGATCCAGAAAGCTCCTTATATAGTAGCATAATGTGATAAAGGAAATAAATCTTTGACACAGGAAAAACAAGGAAAAGCCTACATGGTTGCTCTTTAATATACTTAGTGTTTTCTGTGACTGTAGATGACATTCATACTTAATTCAGGTAGTGTTTTTTTTTTTTGTTTTTTTTTTGTTTTTTTTTTTTGTTTTTTTTTTAAGTTCAGTGCTCATGGCAACAAATGACTGGTAGCATTGGATCAGTAGAGCAAATGTTTAAACAACTCCTTATAATTTGGCCGATACAGGTTAAGAGTAAGTGTATCACTCATCTTTCAATTTCATGCTTCTCTTCAGCAGAGACTACCAATTCTATCTGTAGTATTTGCAATATGGAAAAATACCCACGTGCCATTGGGCTGACACAACCAAACTTGTTTTTGCTATGCTGAGGGATGCTAAATTTCTCTGTATGAACGTCAGTAGGGAAGGCAAAGGCTAATGAGGTGACTGTAGTTCCTTATTAACTGACTCATTCTTATACTGGATGGAATCTCAGCATTAGTTCTTAAACTTAACTTAAAGTTTTTTTGGCATTTTTATCTAGACAGGAAGTGAAAGCGGACAGATGCTGGTGAATGCCCCATGGCCGCGGCTACCACAGTTCATTCATCCACTACCCACCATAACTTGGAAGCTTTCTTTAGGTAAGGAAATTGCCTCAGACTGTCCTATACAACTTATAAAATTGGGCTTTTATATCTAATTATGTTGGTTCCATACCTTCATAGTTGTAAAATATCTGTGTATGTTGTATGTCACAGTTGCTTTGTTTTCAATTGTGATCTTATGCATAGTATATTTCTGTAATTACTAATTATAAATTATTTACTGTGTCAAAGTTTTCTTGTATACTGTAATAATTAATAACATTCTTGCAGAAAGGTAGTCCATGTGTAGAACAACCAAAAGTGATCAAAAGGATACAGTCAACTTAGAAGAAAGATTTTTGTTGTTTGTTTGTTTTGTTTGTTTTTGTTAGGAACATGGTGTAACAGTGGGATGTACAAGTAATACAAGATTACTGTAACTGAGAGACATTGAAGTTAAAAAACATTCTCTGGATGCTATCCACAGATTCCGTCCAGTGTTTTGGCTGTTTAACATCAGACGAGTACAGCTCCCCAGCTCTTAGATTCTCTTGTGTGAGCAACACCTTTTTTTCCTGCCCACGCATGGAAAACTTATGTATCCCTTTACAGACTTGCTTGGATGAGGGTAATGGTACACAATCAATACCATATTATTAAACCAACACCACAAGTGCAACTTCAATCCCTATAATTGTACAACTAATGATAACTGGGTGCATTCTGAAGGCATAAAGTGGCCCAAGATTAGAGCCATGCACCTTGGAGTTCCCTGCTCTGTTACAAAACTCTTTGCTGAGCGAACATGATGAGACTAGCTTCTTCCGTAGTGCTCTTGGTTTAATTAAAATACTTTATTAGAATTCTTAAAGAATTCTTAAAGTCCCTCATGGGTTTCCCAGACTTTGCAGGTCAGTTTGTCTTTGGTCGATGATTTCACAGGTCAATTCATCTTCTGGGACCCCTCCCTGCCTTCTGGTTAAGGAATCCTTTCATACATACAGGATGACTCAGCAATGGGATGGATGTTCAAATACCTGAAAGGTGCTGATGTTAGACAGGAACTTCCACATTCTTTGGAGGTATGTGTGCATGTGCACCTCTGATTCAAGGCTACCTTGATTATATCACCTGAAAATTAGACTAGTTAACTTCAGTTGTAGAAAATATATTGTAAACTATTTTTAAGAAATAGCTGTATATGTGACATACATCTTATTTTAGATTTTAGTTAATGCCAGAATGGAACAGAAGGTTCTGTGAATACTTATGTATAAAAGAAAAATTAAAAAAAAAAAAGAGAGATCTACATTTATGGTGATTGTCCATGATCTATAAGCAATAAACTTTTTTTTTTTTTCTTTCTTTCCAGTTTGTGGTTCTAAATTTGGTACTGCACAACATTGTGATGCAACTATGCAAGAGTTTTTTAAAATATTATAGAAGTATATAGAATACCAAAACTATATGAGACTCAAAAATAGCTAAACTAAAATAGTATGATAGTTAATGTAATAATTACCATATTTTGTTGTTGTTGCTGACAACCTGCAGTCTGCATTTCATGTACCATATATATTAGCATTTACAAGGTACTACTTATTCCACTCTTTGGCCCCACCCTAACATATGGGGTGTGGTCACAATCTTGCATTCTCATTATTCCCAACTGCCCAAACAATCCTTGGGGACCAGTGGCAGCAGCCGCAGTTTCAGCAAGCCTCTGCACACTACCTCCTCATCTATACTGGATGCCAAATGTCTGCTTCTGAGCAACTCAACCTTTATGTTTAGAGAAAGGGCATGCACAGTTTTCATAGTTGTATCATTTAGATGATGTAGAGTCATAGGAATAGAATTAAAATTTTAGCAGTGTGTAGTAGTTTGTGAAGTTTTGAAGTTAATAATATGTTGCATGCAAAAAATATAAATATTGCAAAGGCAAGCACTCAAAATTTGGAAATGCTAGGATTAAGGTTGCCAGGGTAGCCTTAATTCGGCCCCCTTATGTGATCATTGTAATGCATATGCGCAACATTTTTTTCCATATGTGCTGATGGCAGAGGAATGGCGAGACTCTGGAGAGGAGTCTCTTGGGCACAGACTCTTCTTCCCATTTTCCCCCAACCATGACCCCTTCTGCCCTGTCTCTTCCCCACTCCTGGTTCCTAGGCCGATTCTCCTTACCTAGCAAGCCCCAGTTTCCACTCCTGAGGCTTCTTATCCCAGTCTCTTTGTACAGCCAGGCCTAGTCTCACCCCCCTGAACTTCCAGTCCCAGGTCCCCCCAGCCTCCATTCATCACCCACCACCTATGTTTCCTAACCCCCTGGTCTCTTTCCCAAGGCTCCTCATCTAGTATGTGTCATGTCTCCCTTCTCCAGGCTCCTTACCCAGCCAGTCATTGTCTCTCCAAAGCTTTTTCGGATTTTGGTCTCCCCACACACTGGCGCTCATCCAGTCACAATCTACCGCACCAAATTTTGCTGTTGTCCCTCTGCATTCAAATTGAGATCTCCTTTTCCATCCTGCCTGGGCCCAATGATGTCCTTGAGAGTTGGTCTCCTGTGCTATCAGTTCTGGTGTCCAGCCTGACTTGCAGCAATCTTGTGCAACAATTTCAAGGAAAGTCCTGCTCAGCTCCAAGCTGGGGCATGCGATCAGAATCGTAAGGGGGTTTAGCTGTGAAGCTCTAGCAAGTCTCTGCTGAGTGTGTGTAAGATGCAGTTTGTCAAAGGTTTATAACTTGCCCAAACTTGGGCAGATTTTCACAGAAATAAGACACATCCTTGAAACAAAAGACTCCCCTTGCCAAATGAAAGTCCCTCATGCAAAGCATGTGGTTGCTTATCAAAGAAGATGATGCCAGAAATTAACATGGGGAAGCATGTTTTCCCTATACCTTATTATTAGAAATAGCTGAGCTATTTTGGCTGGAGGAAGACATCTGGCATGGAAAATTTAATCCCATGCAGTTTAAAGTTGTCAAAGTTACAAGGAACCAAAACCAGGATCTTATAATGGGACACTACCAACTCTGCCTGTAATATCAAAATACTAACTTTAACGTTATACTGCAGATACATTTAGTGATTCTCTGGACAGTTGTTCAATTGGTCAGTTAGATGACTGTCTGACAAAATGGTCTGAATAGTGAAGCAACACATTAAGTGTATATTAACATGAGCTAGTGTGCTGCTCTTCTTTAAATTAGTAAAAATTTAAATTAGTGAAACACTCTTTTCTGTTAGATCAGAAAAACGTGTTATTTAGTCAGTTAAAAAGACAAAACTTCAGTTGTTATATCTCCCAATTTATTGTGACTTTAGTCACAATTTCTTTTTTTAACATGGTTTTCCTCTCCCTATTGCTGTGTGAAGCCTACACAACAGGAAACTTAAGTACAGTGAAACTGACAATACAAAGAGCAGAATACTTTTCTCATCTTTCAGTTATAGTAATCTAGGTGGTCAATTAAAAAAAACAAAAACAAAAACAAAAAAACCCCCCCACAAACTTGGTCAATAATAAACTAGCTTCTTTGTGAAGTTACAGCATGCTGAAGTGGGATCCTTACACTGAAGGGGCAAGTGTCCGATAAATGTCTGTAGCCTAAATAAATGTAAATGTGTAAAATAAACAAAAGATCAGTTTGGGAAAAAATAGGCATTGACAGTGTACCTTAAACTATAACACAAATATAGAAATTACTAATGGACTCGCTAGTTTGAGCCTTCTTACTTAAACCTAGTAGCAAATCCCGTAGGTTTATTTTCAGTGGAAATTTGTGCGTATGATTAAATTTTTTTTTTTTTTTTGGAGAAGACAGTTGGTGGTATACTTGCATGAAATACTGTCAAAGGAAACTGCCCTTGGGTAGCTCACCTGGACCTAGGAAACTTGGTTTCATTAATTGCGTTACAGAGCATACCATATATATATATATATAATATGGAAATGAGGCTCTTACTATTGTATGTACATTGTATGTAGTGCAGAGACATTTTGTATGGTAGTCAGATATACTTAGGCTTTTGCTAATATGTCTGTTTTTGTTTTTGTGATCTTCTGTACTTTTTTTAGAGATCTATTGTACTTGAAAACATACAGAAAGCTTTGTACCTTCATTACGTCACAACACTCTAGTAACTGAAATTGTTTGCTCTCAAAATGAAGAGAATCAGGCGGACTGTTAAAACTGAGAATCCAATTCTCCAAGCACCACAAAGATCAAAAAAACAGAAAACTTTTTTCTATGGATCTGCATTTGGCAAGTCTCACCTGCAAACCTTGATGGACTGGGGAACCCTGCCACTCCATGTAGTTTTACATATTTTTCAGTTCCTGCCTTTAGTAGATCGAGCACGGGCATCTTCTGTTTGCCGAAGGTGGAATGAAGTTTTTCATATTCCTGACCTGTGGAGGAAGTTTGAATTTGAGCTTAACCAACCAGCTACTTCTTATTTAAAGTCTACTCACCCTGATCTCATTCAGCAAATTATCAAGAGACATGCTGATGATCTGCAGTATGTCAGCTTCAAGGTAAAGATGGGGTGGAGGCTTGTTTTGTCACTTTACAGGACAGCTGTGTTTGGATGTCTGTAAATTGTATTGCATCTCCATCCAAAAACCTTTGTTTCCTTTTTTTTCTTAAGAATAAATTGGTATGACTATTTTATTGAATGCATGAAAAGTTATATTCAAAGATGTTTGCAGCAGTTTTTTTTCAGAAGGAAGCAGTTGCTAAAATTATGTACTTCCTATACATGCACAGTATCTACTTCACATGATTTTCATAGCCTGTTGTATTTAATTTAGTGTATTTGAAAAAATTAATTTTGCACAACATTGTCATAATTTTGACATTAAATAGTAGCTATTTTACCTTTTATGTTTAAAAATTACAAGACCAGTATTGTTGTTGGAAGTATTCTGTGTGGATAGGATGTCCATCCTAGTCTTAGAGTTTTTGTTATAGTGGTACTAAGTCAGAGGTGGGCAAACTTTTTGGCCCAAGGGCCACATCTCGGTATAGAAATTGTATGGTGGGCCATGAATGCTCTCGAAATTGGGGTTGGGGTGCGGGAGGGGGTGAGGGCTCTGTCTGGGGGTGCGGGATCTGGGGTGGGGCCAGAAATGAGGAGTTCAGGGTGCAGGAGGGGCTCTGGGCTGGTGCAGCAGGGGTGAGGTGCGGGGGCTCTGGTTGGGGGTGCCGGCTCTGGGGTGGGGCTGGGGCTGAGGGGTTTGGAGTGTAGGATGATGCTCTGGGCTGGGACTGAGGGGTTCGGAGGGCAGGAGGCCGGTCAGGGCTGGGGCAGGGGCTTGGGGCACAGGGGAGGTGAGGGCTCTGGCTGGGGGGGCAGGCTCTGGGGTGGGGATGATGGGTTTGGGGTGCAGGAGGGTGCTCCGGGCTGGGACCGAGGGGTTTGGAGGGCAGGAGGTGGCTCAAGGCTGTGGCAGGAGGATGTGGCACCGGGGGGAGGCGCGTGTCTCGGGTGCAGGCTCCGGCCAGCACTTACCTCAAGCAGCTCCCGGAAGCAGCAGCATGTCCCCCCTCCGGCTCCTACGCAGAGGCGCAGCCAGGCCGCTCCCCCGGCCAATGGGAGCTGCGGGGGCAGCATGCGGAGCAGAGCCCCCTGGCTGCCCCTATGCATAGGAGCCGGAGAGGGGGACATCAGCTGCTTCCGGGTGCCATGCGGAGCGTCTCCCAATGCGGCCTGTAGTTTGCCCCCCCTGCACTAAGTGCTCTACAGACTAATTCTCAGCTTCTGGGAGGGAAGAAGGGAAGTAGTATTTTCTACCTCTTAAACATATAGAAATTAAAGCAGAGATGTAAAGGTCCCATCCAATTGCAAAGAAAATGTAATCAAAATAGTATATCTAACTACATATGTTAAAGGATATCACACAACTTTTTATATGCTGCACATGAATATTGAGGTGATTGAGAAATGTTAATATCCAAGAAACAGCACGGTAATGTTTACACACACAGGTGTTAAGTTCATGTTCAGAGTACTACCTTAACGTAGTCCTCCCTTTATTCGGGTGTTGGACCATTCAGATGATAACATTAATGTAGCTTGTCTTGGAGATATACTACTCAAAGTATAGCAATTACGTAGATAGAATCTACACTGGAAGACCATCTTAATTACATTTGGGGATTATAATGTAACCAGGTCCCCTTACATGTGTGAATTTATAGTGTAAAATAGCCCTAAGTTTGTGAACACCACAGAGGTGGAGTTAATGTGAGTCAGGATTAAACTCAAGTTCCTTTCTCCTAACACTGTCATTAGTAATTTCCTTTTTTAGTTGCCTTCAGAGTTCTTGTGATGCAGTCCATGGTTAATATTTTAATCAGTTACTTTAAGTACATGTAGCTACTTCACGTAGTACAACTGATTTGCCTCGTAATATGTCATCTGAATAGTGATCCAGATAACAATATGTAGCTCATATCTTAAAAGTTCTTGACAAAGGAGTTAGGTATCACCCCCATTTTACAGCTGTGGAAACTGAAGTACAGATGTAAAGAGGCTTGCCCCAAGGTCTTCCAGCAGGTCAGTGGCAGAGCCATGAATAGAACCCAGGTCTCACTAGGCTACACGGTGTGTAATGTGGACCACTTTGCTGCATTACTTTTATTTATCCTGTTTTTAGACCAGAATAAACCCCAAAAGTCTGACAGTTGATAATTATGAAGGAAGAGGCATCAGCTATGGAATTATGGTATACATTAACCTGCAATTCAGTACTAGTCATGCATGCAAATTGGGATGTTGATAGAGAAATGCAGAGATGAGGCAAATCAAAGATAGATGGATAGCCTTAAGATGTCTGGTGTTCTCAGGACTGTCAGAAAATCACAGTGTAATAAGTATTGTAGGCAAGTACTTTTCATGACTTTTTGCTGCCTTCAAATTATTAACCACTTCATAAGCTTCACATTCCTTTCTTGGAGCAAATAAAAGTTGGTATAGTGCAATCTACTAGTTTAAAAAAAACTGGTGCTACTCTATTTTGGATATTAAATATATTTTATCATGCTGTTGACTTTCTAGGAAGCAATACAAAATGACTTCAATGTTTTAAAATTGTCTTTTAGGTTGATAGTAGTACTGAGTCTGCAGAAGCTGCCTGCGACATCCTTTCTCAATTGGTGAATTGTTCTATCAAGACATTAGGTTTGATTTCAACAGCAAAACCAAGTTTTATGAATGTCTCCAAGGTAATGTCCTATGGATTCTCAAATTTTACCTTGCTAGATAGTGTAACAAATCATTAAACCATGTAGATATTATTGAATTAAAAAAAAAAGTAATTTTTACAAACCCAACACTTTAATTTTAAAGTACACAAATGCACACAGTTCTATTTCTTGCCATATATTTCTCTAAACGCTCATTTTTATGTTTGTATTTTAAAGTATGACATACATTTGACAACACTCCATTCTTAGAACTTTTTGCCCAGCTGATACTGGCTTCTATAAAACTAGTATCTATATATCCAGGACTCTGGGTCATGTGACCTTGATTATGGCTCTAGTTGGGAATGTATCTAAGCATTTGCTTATGTCCTAATGACTTCAGTGAGTCTTAAGCCTGTGCTGAAGCAGGGTGCTTAATCCAGATTTGGAACATCTGGGAAGCAAATGCATGGCTCAAGACTAGGGCTGTCGATAAATCGCACTTAACTCATGCGATTAACTCAAAAAAATTAATGGTGATTAAAAAAATTAATCGTGATTAATCACAGTTAAACAATAGGATACCAATTTAAATTAAATACGTTTGTATGTTTTTCTATTTTTTCAAATACATCGATTTCAATTACAACACAGAATAAAAAGTGTACAGTGCTCACTTTGTTTTTTATTACAAATATTTGCACTGTAAAAATGATAAACAATAGTATTTTTCAGTTCACCTCATACAAGTACTGTAGGGCAATCTCTTTATCATGAAAGTGCTCCTTACATATGTTTTTGTTGTTTGTTTTGTTACATAACTTCACTCAGAAACAAAACAATGTAAAAGTTTAGAGCCTACAAGTCCACTCGGTCCTGCTTCTTGTTCAGCCAATCATGAAGAGAAACAAGTTTGTTTACATTTATGGAAGATAATGCTGCCCCCTTAAGTACAATGTCACCTGAAAGTGAGAACAGGCGTTCGCATGGCACTGTTGTAGCTGGCGTCACAAGATATTTACGTGTCAGATGCGCTAAAGATTCGTTTGCCTCTTCATACTTCGGCCATTGTTCCAGAGGACATGCTTCCATGCTGATAACACTTGTTAATAAAAAAAACAGCGTTAATTAAATTTGACTTAACTCCTTGGGGGAGAATTGTATGTCTCCTGCTCTGTTTTACCTGCATTCTGCCATATATGTTGTGTTATGGCAGTCTCGGATGATGACCCAGCACATGTTGTTCGTTTTAAGAACACTTTCACTGGAAATCTTTGCATTTTGTCAGAAGATACCAATGTGAAATTTCTAAAGATAGCTACAGCACTCGATCCAGGATTTAAGAATCTAAAGTGCCTTCCAAAAGCTGAGAGGGGTGAGATGTGGAGCATGCTTTCAGAAGTCTTAAAAGAGCAATAATCTGAGGCAGAAACTACAGAACCCAAACCACCAAAAAAGAAAATCAACCTTCTGCTGGTGGCATCTGACTCAGATGATGAAAATGAACATGCGTCAGTCCGCACTGCTTTGGATCGTTATCGAGCAGAACCTGTCATCAGCATCGACGCATGTCCTCTGGAATGGTGGTTGAAGCATCAAGGGGCATATGCATAGGCGGCGGGTGGAGCCCCACTCTGGGGAGACTAGCCCCCAGCTCTGCCCCTTCCACCCACTGCCAGAGCCATGAGACCACCTGTACCCTCCCCCTTGGCTAGAGGAGCCCCAGGTCAGCTGCAGCCCAGAGCTCCCCCTTATCTCGCTCTCCCTTATCTCGCTCTCTCACACACACACACACACACACACACACACACCCACCCCCAGAAGAGCCTGGGCTGGACTGGCTGAAGCCCCAAGCCAAGCCTCCCTCCACCTGGAGGAGCTCGGGGGTGACCGCAGTCATGCCTCACCTTCCCTCCCCGGACCCAACCCGCCCATGGCCCAGGGGAAAAGCATCTATAGAAGACACTTTTTGAAATGCCCCATGCGGATTCCGGGGTGGCTGCAGAGGTGGTATGTGCCTCCTCTGCCACCCTGGAACCTGCATGGGGCATAATAAAGCAAAAACTTCACCACCAAACCATCCAGCCGGGGATCCAGTGGCTGTGGCTGCACTGGGGGAGGCAGAGCTTCCCATGGCCTATTATACCCGCCGCCTATGGACATATGAATCTTTAGCACATCTGGCATGTAAATATCTTGTGACACCAGCTACAACAGTGCCATGCAAATGCCTGTTCTCACTTTCAGGTGACATTATAAACAAGAAGCAGCATTATCTTCTGCAAATGTAAATAAACTTGTTTGTCTGAGTGATTGGCTGAACAAGGAATAGGATTAATTGGACTTGTAGGCTCTAAAGTTTTACGTTTTATTTTTGAATGCAGGTCTTTCTGTATATAATTATCATGAAAGTTGAATTACAAATGTAGAAAGAGATTGCACTACAGTACTTGTATTAGGTGAATTGAAAAATACTATTTTTTTTTTACAGTGAAAATATTTGTAATAAAGAATAAATAAGTGAACACTGTCGACCTTGTATTCTGTTATAATTGAAATCAAAATATTTAAAAATGTAGAAAACATCAAAAAATATTTTAAAAAATTAATCATGATTAATCATGCTGTTAAACAATAGAATACCATTTATGTAATTGCTTGACAGCCCTATTCAGGACTCCAAAATTGTAGTGGTATAAATCAGATCTCCAGAAGTGAGGTGCTACAGTACTTAATTTTGCATACATATGTAAGTATATCCTTTCCTTTTTTCCTCTCAACGGGCTCAATTATCGCTCCATCAAATGTTAGTCCTGAGAGGTCTCAGTTCAGTTTCTTGATGAAATTTTTTTTTCTTAATTTGGTATTTTTACTTATTGGTATTCTGTAGCTACTTCAAGCTCTTCATTATATGCACTTTTTTCTTTGAAAAGAGGGGAAATGGGGAAGAGGGCAGAACTGCTTGTGTTCACTGTAAGCATTAAAATAACCCCTAGTTTGAGAGTAAGTACTATATTCTTTATTACATAACTTAGGGGATTGATTAAATAAGAATTTATAATTACGCTAATTATTTTACCCCTGTAAAACAAAACTAATGGTTCTACCTTGAGGCAAAAGTTCAATCAACTATGCCAGGGGTCGGCAACCTATGGCACGCATGCCAAACACGGCACACAAGCCGATTTTGAGTGGCACGCAGCTCCCCTGACGTGGTCCCGGCCCCCAGCCCCACTCAGCCCCCCCACCCACCGCTCTCCCCTGCGGGGGCAGGAGGCAGAAGCTTGGCTCTGTGGCAGCCAAGCTTCCCCCCCTCCCCCGCTTCTTCCCCCAGCATGGTGCTTTCCTGCCCCTCCTCCTCTCCTTCCCTGCGCCAATCAGCTGATGGCCCTAGCGAGGGGGAGGGGGAAGAGCGGCAGCGTGCACAGAGCTCCGTAGAGGAGGCAGAGAGAGGTAGGGATGGAGCCTGGGGGAAGGGGGTGGAACAGGGCATATCCCTTCCAGCCCCTTGCCATGAGCCGCTCAGGGCAGGGGGCTGGGAGCACCCCCACGAGCCGAGCACCCCAGCCCTCTGACCTGACCCTTGAACCCCCCCACACCCAGCCTTC